GAGTTGCTCTACTCGGAGGTCAGAAGGCTAACGAAGATCTGGGAGACGAGTCAGGTCAAGCGCCCGAAGGTCCCTGGAGATCCCCAAGCTGCCCTCAGGCTCCCCGAGACCGCCCCCAGCATGCTCAAGAGGGCCTTGCGCAAGTTTAGCCACTCCACGGCGGAGACGTGGGACGGCATCCACCCGTGTCACTTCAGGCTGCTGTCGTTCGATCAGCAGAAGGCTTTTTGCAGGCCCCTCATGTGCGTGGAGCGCGTCGGTAGTATGCCCTCTCAGCTTCTTGCAGTGATATCAGCTCTTATCCCGAAACACAAACCTTCAGGGGGCGGCCCCTCGTATCGGGGGATAGGGCTCATGCCAGCTGTTTACAGAGTTTGGGGCAGAATTCGTCAAGTTGAAGCAAGAAGCTGGGGGCAGAACAATAGGCGAGAGTTTTTGGCCCACCAAGCTGGGCGATCCATCTTGGAGTTGGTGCGCCAACAATCTTTGCAGGCAGAGAGCGGCGCAGTTCAAGAAGAGGAGCTGCATGCCGCTTCCATCATGTGGGACTTGACCAATTATTACGAACCTGCTAATCGAGAGGAACTACACCGACGTGCTCTAGATACTGGTTTTAATGGAGCTCTTTTGGCTATTATTCTAAACCGATGTCAACGTCAACGTATGATTACTCTGAATAATCAAACATCGTACGCAGGCTACCCCACCAAAGGGATCCCAGCAGGCTGCAGTTTCGCGGCCTTCCTTGTGCAGATGCATGGCATCGAGGCATTAGATATTTGGACCAGTTATGTTGAAGTATCCCTCCACATGGTCATTGCTGACCTCCCCCTCCTCTTCTCCCACAGGTGCAAGAAGACGATAGTCTCCGAGTTGAAGCGTGCAGCTGCCGGTCTTTCGCGTGCCATCCAGTTCGAACTGGAGCGTTTCATTGCCATCGACAAGTCTGCTGTGCTAGCCTCGGCGCTCGACATGCAAAAGCGTTCAGCAACAAAAAAAACACTAGGGAGATACTCAGGCTCGGCCCCTCATCACGCGGCCAATCTAGGCGTTGATTTTCGGGCTGGTCAAAAACAAGGAAGAGGTATTGCAAGTTCTAAGCTTCGAGACCGACATAAGCAACTTAAAGGCCGACTTTATCGTATAAGAGCGGTAACAAGAGCCGGGGCCAATACCCTCAAGCTGTGCAACGCGGGCTTCGGGCAAGCCCAATTCTACGGGACGGAGGTGGTAGGCCTAGATGATAAAGAACTAAAAACAGCTCGTAGACTTTATCTTCAAATAGCAGGTCCAGGTACAACACCGCGTTCTAGTACGTTGGCTCTGCGCTTACTTGGCGACCCTTGTTGGAGACCAGGAGTTGGCCCCATCATAATTTGGTCGCAGCTGGTGTGGCGCGCCATGATGGGTCAGAATTCTCCTGGCCACGGCTTGCCTCAACTTCGCGCGCGAGCTGCGGCAGCGCTCGGAGCCCCACCACGGGCGTGGCGCGATTGTCGAGGCCCGTTTGGAGCAGCAATATTAAGTGCACAGAGATTGGGTTGGCAGTTCTCCTCGCCCTTCACGTTGGTAGATCAGTACCAGAGGACCCACATATTAACCTCCACCTCTCCCTGCATGCTCCAGACTTGGATGAAGCAGGCCTGGGGCGAGCAGCTGCATGTCCAGGCCGCGACGAAGTTAGGGCTCCAAGGTTCGCTCGACACGTCCACGGCAAGGAAGGTTCTACATGGTCCAAGGCTTAACCAAACCAAGAAAACCACCCTCCTGGCCTTCCTGACCCGGTGTATTTGGACCCATTCGTGTTTGGAAAAAGCAGGGTACCCACCAGAAACAGAACGCCAGTGTGGACACCCAACAGACGATCTCCATCATAGGCTCGTGAGTTGCCCTTGCACTGCGCCCCA